ATCCCAACTCCAAACGAGTTACATTGGAGAGCATCCCTATCTCCCGCGGAATAACACCTGTGAACTGATTCTTGTAGAGGAGAACCCTGGTTAACTTGGTGAGATTAACTAGAAAACCAGGGACGGGGCCACTAAGATGGTTCACACCGACCTGAATATCCTGCAGGTTTATCAGATTACTCAGCGTCGATGGTATACTCCCTGACAACTGATTGCTATACAACCGCAAGGAGTTGAGCTTGGTCAAGTTTCCAGCACTGGGAGGTATGTGGCCAGTTAAGGATCCGCCCCCAGAGCAACTGCTGCTTAGCTGCAGAAGCTTTAGATTGAAGAGCTTCCCTATCTCCTCTGGAATCCGCCCAGAAACCATGGTCTCGTGGATAACAAGTTGTGTGAGCTTGGTTAAATTAACCAGGGATACTGGAATCTGACCTGTGAGGTTGTTCATAGAGAGCCCCAGCGCAGTGAGGCTCCGATATTTCCTGACATCCTATTGCTGGTGAAATCAAGGGACGAGAGCAGTGCCAGAGAGCTTATGCTTGCGGGGATTTCCCCACGAAGATAGTTGGAGCTGAGCGGCCTCTGGCCGGAAAAACGGCCGGTGCTGACACTGACGCTGACGCTGATATGAGAGAAAAACGCTACTATTTCGCTCAAACGGTACGACAAGCGAACAGGGCCGAGGTCGATGTAGTCCAGAAATGGGAGTACGGAGAAGTTAGCCCATCAAGGTTGCCATCCAGGCCTGCACTTGACAGGGAGATCCCCGTCACAGCCACGCTTTGGTGGTTGCACATGATCCCTGTCCAGTTGCAGGGGTGGACTTGCTGCTGCCAAGATATGAGTGCCGGCGAGCTTCCAAGAGTGCCCTTCCAGTTCAGGAGGGCCGTCTGCTGAACTTGCAGCGTCATCCCTACGACGAGTTGCTGGAACAGGAGACATGGCGACAAGGATGAGAGCAGTAGGTATAAAATGTACACGAACACGATGGATTGCGTCGTCCCATGCGATATCGTCGTCTGGTGTCCGCTTGGATGAGTTCCTAATACTGCAGCGTCTCCTAGTCTGATAGAAAAATGAAGATGGCGAGTTTATGGTTCATCGTATTCAGACATTCAGTACTGGAAGCGCGTTTATAAGAACGTTTGAACGTGCCGTGCACGGTGCGCAGCACTAACTGGTGGTGGTGGAAGTGGAAGTGAAGTAGCGTTCGTCACGCAGAAATTTCACCCTAACGTGAGTAGAGGTAGAGGAAAACCGAAGTTGACTTAGGTAGATGTAATAAAATGAGACTTGAAAGGATGTAATATACCCAAAGACTTAGCCTTAGATAGTAGTGCTTGGAAAACAGCTATTCAAGTGCCTGAACCTTTATTTCTGCTGGGTTTTAACTCTAGCTTACTCTAACTTGTTTGGAACTTAAAGACTTTGTTGTTGTTCGTTGTTGTTTTGACATCGAGTTATCATGGAGTTGACTGTGCGGGCCAAATGCGATCCAACAACGCTTCCACGTTGGACTTATTTGATTTGACTGCCTTTTTCTGCACCGTGGCATAACTTATCTTCCACATATATTTTTACAAAGTTGGCATTGTTGCACTCACAGTTTCTAGTGCGGTATATATATCCAGTGAAAAATAGGTTTGGAAATTTGTTGAATGATGGAAAGGCCATGATGCAAAGAAGCAGATAAAACAAAGCAGAAAGCTATAAAAGATCCTAGTATAGTTTTATTTAGTGGCTACAGGCCTACTCCGTACAACATAGAACAAGGGCAAGTCGGAACCGACAAGGCACAGTACCATTTTTTTTAGATAAGGACAAGGCACAGTACCATGCTCAATTCCTTCCCTAATATTTTTAGATAAAAGCCATCTTGATCTCATAATTTCATTTGAGTTAAGATGCAGGTGTTCAAAATTTAGTTCAATAATAATTGAAACTATCCTGCTATATCATACAATTGCTTTACCTCAAAAAACAAATATCATACAATTGCTTACTTGCCCTTCATTGACCCCACTGTTGTATTGTATCCTAGCAAGCTAACCTTCACGGTTCAAGCAGTTGCGTCACAGGCCAGTCTCTGTTTTCTCTTTTAATGAAAGAAACTAACCACAGCATGAATCTTGTCCAGAAAATGGAGAATGCACCAACATGTGCCTATATATACAACACAATTAAGCAGATGACAAATGATGGTGACTTAAATACATGTATATTTCGTGTACATGGATGGTCACAGAATGTATAATAATATATAGGATATCACAATTTCCACTTTGGGAAACTCTAGCTGAAAATGAAAAAAAAAATGTTTATTTCGTGTAAATAATAGTACATTGGAACAGGATTTCATTAGTTTCCTAAACACACTAAGCACTAAAAATATGTGTTTTGCCCATTTTTTTGTACCTAATCAAGGAATGCAAAATTAAGCTACATTCGTTTTTTTTAGGAAAATTAAGCTACATTCGTAAGCTAGCATGATTTCGACAGGCATGAACTCGGAGCCTTAAATAAACTAATTGACAATCATGAAAACCTCAAATTTAAATGAGCACAAGAGTTTTTTTCAGAAAAAAAAACGAGCACAAGAAAATAGAGAGAAAACAGAAGTGCGTGCGTTGGATTTCTGAAGCAGATAGAAGATTTCTATAGTTTTCCTAGTATAAGGTATAGTTTAAAAAGTCAGGTATACATGCCATTGATCTTGACTACCAACACTTTAGGTAAGATAGCGTTCAAAAGACATGTATAGATGGGGTTTAAAAGGCAGACATGTATAGATGGGGTTGAGTAATCCAGAATACCTTATAATTCGGGATAAAATTTAAATATTTAATACCTTATATTTCAAACAGAGTGAGTATGTAACAGACAGAAAATGTCATGTCCAGTCGTTCAAATATTGTACTATTACTGTGGTTTGGCAGTGCATACTTTCTTTGTATCCTATAATTCTGGATAAGTTTTGCTTAAAAAACATTTTTGATAAGTTAATACTGGCTGTGAAATAAACACTGGATACACTGCAGTAGAACATAGATGATGAAACAGAGGTGCGAGTATCAACAGCTCAACACGGATGGTTCCCACTTCTTACTGATGACGACTGATGAAGCGCCTCAATATTGGATCCCTGCTTTATATGTTGTTCCTAATTTTGTCATAAATTTATGGTAAACAGGTAATCATGTTCCTTCGATTATTTGCTCTTAAAAGAATAGAGGCGGGGCTACTACATTTCACTGAGATGGAAGGGAAGTATAGCTTTCCTTAGTTTACATTTCAATGCCTGCCACTCAAAAACTAAATTATCAGCAAAGTAAGGTGGCTTCTGCCGCTTCTCTCCGGAGCGACCTTGGTGAAGATCAGTGCAAGTGCAAATGCGCAATCTCAGGTCCTTCCTTCCGTACGAAAATTATTCGATTGTGCATTTGTGCTCTTTCTAGATTTCCCAGTCACCAGGATGAGGCTGTCGTCTGCCTTCCTCCCAGCCGATGAGGCGATGAGTCCCATGCAAAGCGGAGGTGAGATCCTGGAGCAAGACACGTTTTTTTGACAAATCCACACTCTTCTTGGGCTTTTGGCAGGATGGGATCTGCATCCTTGGAGCAATTGAGCTTTAGTTTTGCAATTATTATGATGGAACAAATAATTAAGCTGAACACTTAATAACCTTTTCCTTGTAGTTTTAACCTGTGACTCTGTGAGCAAGAAGAAACATTGCCACCTAAACCCAACATTAACATAATTTGTTGACCTGATACAAACCACGTTTTTCATGCGCCTTTTTTTTAGCTTATGGAGACTCCATACTCAATTTTATTGCTACAGTTAAGCAAAAACATACACATGGATATCACAGAAAGTATAATACAGGCAAATATTTTTTTCACTTCTTGGAAACATCTCACTGAAAAGTTCAAATAAGTACATATTTCATGTATTTTTATCATGTGGACAGTGAACAGGATTTCTGCAAATCTATCTAAATTCACATGCTAAAAGGAGTTAAAAGCTATGCCGTGATTTGTTTGTCCTTCACCATGGAATGCAAAAAAAATTAAGCTCAATTTGCAGACTGGCATGAAGTCATGAACAAGGAACCGTCGAGTGTTAGGTTAAAAAAATTTGCAGATATAACAATAAGGTAGGGAAAGAAAGAGAAGCACATGCCTCAGGTTTCTGCAGCAGACAACATGATAAATTTTTCTTTCCACTCATAATACTGCTTGCCTTCCTTGACTATCTAAGTGGCTGCATTACTAATAGAGAACTGCTTAGCAAGCTCAACTGACGAAGTTCAGTAACTTCAGAACATTGATATGAGGTTCTAATTTCAGTGACTGTTACTCCTAAGATCTGTTGGGACTACAGCTAACACTACAAAGCTGTAGTATGATCCTATCTCTTGCATGCCCCCAGAACATCTCTGTTCCATACTTCCATAGTTCCATTGATTCTTGTTCAGTTGGGAAATGGCATAAAATAATTTATCATCAAGAGCTGATGAATGCTAAATGTTCTTGTATCACTTAGTACCTGGTGTTCACTTTTATATATGTATGTTTCCCAAAAGTTCAAGAAATATAGACAACTGATATTTGATTGGCACACTTCTCTAGTGGTCTTTCTGTTAGATTGATTTTGTTGAACAAAAGAGCCCGAATAGTGGACAAAGAAATCAAATGCTCAAGCGTAGATAGGTCTCATTCTCTTCTTTATTCTGCAGCTGACCTTGGATGCTGAATTTCTGTTACAAATGTTATCCAGAAAACTACCATCCATTCAATCGAAGGACACAAACTGAGGAAAGGTGGATCCAAGCTTCATGCTCAAAAGAGCAAAAATCCTTTCTCTCCAAGCAGCCATGCTTCAATCGATCAGTATATGACAATTGTACATCCTCTACCAATAATCCCCACATGAACAAACTCCTTGTACTATATGATGGATCCTATTGGTGTCTTTGAGGATAATCTCTCTACTGGTGATTACCAAATCAGCTTTGCAGCAAGATGACAGTCACTACAGGTTCTGAGATTCATAGTCACCCTGATAGTTGTGCCTGGACCAGTGTTCAAAAGGAGAAATGCAATCGCCAATTTCTCACTGTGAACAGAAAGATGGCCCTCCTTGTCTTCTTCTTCAACATCATGAAGTGTAGCCTCTACCTCTGGGTTATAACCCATTCTCCTTATTTTGCCCAGTAGCTCATCCAGTTTCTGATAGATCATTTCAGATTGTGGGTGACATCTATCACCAATATGAAATGTGTGAACCCGATCCCCTAGCTCGACAATGCTAGTACCAGGAAATTTCTTGATACCCTTATTCACCATGACACTTCTCACTGAGGTAACATCTGCCCATCTCCCAGCCCTAGCATACATATTAGATAACAGCACATAGTATCCTGTTTGTTCAGGTACCAATCTGAACAGATTGTCTGCTGCCACGAGTCCAATGTTCATATTAGAGTGAATTCGACAAGCTTGTAATAAGGCTCCCCAGACTCTTTCATTTGGCTCGATCAGCATTGTTGTGATGAAATCATATGCCTCGCTTATACATCCAGCACGGCCGAGAAGGTCCACCATGCAAGTATAGTGCTCTGCTTTTGGAGTGATATGATACCTGGAAGTCATAGAATCAAAGTAACGCTTTCCATCATCCAAAAGGCCAGCATGGCTGCATGCTGCTAGAACAGCAACGAAGGCAATAGAGTCTGGTTTCAGCCCCTCTCCTAGCATCTTCTCAAAAAGATCAACAGCCTCTCTTCCATGACCATGCTTTCCATAAGCAGATATGATTGAAGTCCATGATATCACATCCCGTACACTCATGGAATCGAAGACCTCCCTAGCATCCTTCAAACATCCACAGCTTGCATACATGTCCACGAGAGCATTTTCAAGCAACAAGTTAGGGCACACATATTTTTCCTCTTGATAATCCCATGAATCCGTTTTCCCACTGAAAATGCTGAGAGCTCCCCACATGGAGGAAGAATAGTTGCCAGAGTCACTGAACCTGGCTCAACCTCATCCTTTTCCATCAGCATGAAAAGCTCAACAGCCTTAACATGATATCCATTGTTAGCATATACAGCGAGCATAGCATTCCAAGAGATAAGTTCCTTAAACTGCATATGGTCAAACACTCCCCTCACAAACGCAATGTCATCTGACTTGGCATTCCCCATAGCCGGCAAGATGCCTGCCATGGTGCCAGCATCCGGCATCGAACCCTGCAGCACCACAAACTGCTTAAAAACCTCAATAGCACGGTCAAACAGACCCGCGCGCGCGAACCCGGCGATCATAGCGTTCCAGGAGACGACATCCCGGTGCGGCATTCCGTCGAACACCCTGTACGCGTCCTCCGGGCGGCCGCACCGCGCGTACATGCAGATCGCGGAGTGCGCCACGTAGGCGTTCGCGTCGAGGCGGAGCTTGGCGACGGCGGAATGGATCTGGAGGCCGAGGAGGAGGTCGTTTGACGCCGTGCACGACTTGAGCGCGAGCGGGTAGGTGTAGTGGTCGGGGAAGCAGGCGGGGCCCCGCGGCCGCATGGAGGCGAAGAGGACGAGCGCATCGCGGTGGAGAGAGGCGGCGGTGAGCGCGCGAATGAGTACGTTGAAGCAGACGGTGGTGGTCCTGCTGCTGCCGCCGGGGGAGGAGCAGGACTCGAGCACGGCGTGTGCCAAGCGGAGAGCGGAGCAGGCGGCGTAGGCTTGGATGAGCTTGACGCTAGCGTGTGCGGCGGATGGGTGGGAAGGGTGGAGCAGCACGAGGAGGCGCGCGTGCGCAGCGCGCAGGGATGGGAGGTGGGCGGGTGCGCGGCAGGCGGCCACGAGGCGGAGGAGGGACTCGCCGAACGTGGGCAGGTGGCTCCGCGATGCGTGCATCGGATCTGGTGGAGGCGCCGCGCGCGCGGGCAGCAATTTTGATCTGTGTGCGGCGCTGTGACAGACTGACAGGGGCCCGGCCGCAGGAAGCTGTGGTCCGCCGTCCGCGCCTCCGCGGGACCGCGGCCGCTCGAGTGTGTGTGTGACGCTGCCGGTGCCCCCTCAGTCACTGATAACCCGAGAAGAAAGAAATGCACGACACGAAGGCACGAATCAACATGATGAAATGGAACAGAACTTACTTTCAAGAGCACACGGAATGCACAGGTGGAATTAAAACTGTCGTGCCACAAACCAAACGTATGAATTTTACACGTATGTAGAACATCAGTGTACAATAAAATGAACACAGTCCAGAAAAGAAGGAAAGAAGAGATTCGCTGTTTGGTTTCTGGGCTGATAAGCCCAACTGGTGCTGGTTTGGTGTGAGAGAAAAACACTGTATCAATCATGATCGATAAGCCCTGGCTTAAACCAACAAGCAAACATGAAAATCTCATGACAACAGTCACAAACTCACAAGATCTAGCTTCCTAGTTCCTATTGCTAACATACGGCAACAGCAACAGATTAAATTACAGGCATAATGGAACTGTCGACCAGGCCAGCTCACTTCTTCTTTTGCCTCGCAATTGATTCTTTAGCTACAGTGTGCGCTGCTTGGCTGACAAAAGATGACTTCTTCAAATTACCCTTAGGGTCGAGTGCTTTCCTAATCTTGAATACAGCCCACGCAGCTCCGAGAGCATTTCCTGTAGCGTGGAGGTAATTGTGTGTGGCTTCCCCTGCTTGCTCACCGTATCTGCATCAATCGAACCATTAGCCTCTTCTAGTATCCACTGGAAGTTAGTTTTTCATTGACTAATAGCCAGGTGAGAACCAGACAAGAGCCATTTCTACGCAAAAATGGTTGCAAAATCATGTTATGAAACACAAAGGTTTTCTAAAGAAACAGAAGGAACATTCCCTGCATGTCATAAGAGCAGTACTTCCTAGTTCATGGGTTCATTGCCATTTTTCTAAAAGAACAAATTTTCTTGGATCTCTTGTAGTTCTAATCTCAGCTGATTATTGATATTCTTATTATTTGAATTTCATCTAAAAAAATGTTTTTTAAGTCCTGTTTTATTCTTACATGATACCCCATATGGACTTTCTTTCCTCAAAAAAACCATATGGACTTTGCTGCTAAAATGCCAATGTTTGTAGAAAATGGAATGGAGAGTTTCCCAACCAAAAAGAGAGAGTTATATTTACATAGTTTGGAAAAATGGAGGACTCCTAACCAAAAAAATGTCACTGCAGATCCCAAAAATAATACAAAGCAGATGATTCGGCAAAGTATCCACTGCATTGTATGTTTATTTACCTGTGTGTTACAACAGAAGTTGTCACGACTGATGATGTCTGCATCACATTCTTGCCAGACACTTCTACAGCATCCCATATTTTCCCTGTATCATTGAATACAGGATAAAAATCAACCGATCATACATAACATGCAACGCAGACATGCTGCAGGAGTTAAACAAAGTGAAGTGGGTAGAATCTGAAGCCATATTATGAAATCAATTATATCTGCTGGTTTTACAAATCTATCATATAGATTCAATCACCCCAGAAGCATGTAAACTAGCCTGAATGAAGCAATATTTCTCAAGCAAATCTTAAAGAAATGTAAAGCAGACATACCAAATCCATCAAGTGAAGCAAGAATAACTTCGCCAGGCATTAACTTGAAAAACTTTTGTGCTGGTTTGGAGTTCAACACGGTGCTTGTGACAAAGCCAGTGACCTTCAGAACACCAGACAGGATTGAGTTTGCCACCCTGTTGGACATCTTTGTAACCCTCCTAGCCCTAAGAAAGAAGACAGAAAACCATAAGCAGCAGGAAGAGGGACACAAATTGATTATCATACAATAATAGATAGAAATGGACGCCAACCAACTGAAAGGAACATGAATAACAATTGGTGCTGTAAAACTTCTACTACATACACATGGTTGATAACAAGTGGCATACTTGACTAAACTGATTGGCAATCTAGGACACTAGTTCCCGGACATACAGGAGAACTGCGTAATCGAGAACAGTAGATAGATTCTCCAAAAAAATGAATCTAGAGTTTGACCAAATTTATATAATAAAATAATAACATTTATGATACCAATAAGTATCATTAGATTTTTCGCTAATTATATTTTCATAGTATACCTATTTGTCATAAATCTTTGTAATTCTCTCTATAATTTTGGTCAAACTTAGGATGCAAATATATATGTAGATAAATACACACTAGATGGCGACCGGAAAGCAGGCAATGGCTAAGTTCAGGGTCAATTTCGCACCAATCAACTAATAAAGATGGATGTCAACACTCTGAAGGAATAATTGACATGATCATACATGAATGGACATTTGCATTGCATTCAGGGAAAAAAAAACACCATGGCTGCTCAAGCAAAAGATCCCCTGCTCTGATAAATAAATAAACATCTACCAAAACGTGAAGTGGCAAGGGAGTTCCAATTAAGAATGTAAGAGCTATCTGTAAGTTGTCTGATTCTACGAGCTACCACAACATACAAGATTAATAGCAGGGCAATTTAACTCCTATCTATGATAAGTAGTGTCTAAAATACTGCAATCCAACAGGAACAATCGCATTCTAAATTAACTGGATAATAATCGTAAGTAATTCGCAATAAATGCTAGTAGTAAGATTGTTCACCATCCTACCTCTTCATCCTTCTGAGAGTTCTGGGCTTCACCTGCGTCGGCTTCGCGCTAGGCCCCACGCTCTTCTTCACCACCTCTTCACCACGCCGCAGGCCCTCCGCCGTGATGTCGCTGGACCAGATGATGCCCCTCACAAGCTGCCCCGAGCCTCGCGCGATCAGCCGTGCCACCGACGAGCTGTAATCGTCGACGTTCGGCGCGATTGTCGTCCAGAACGCCGCAGACTTCTCCTCAACGACCTCCTTCTTATCCCCGATAGCTTCCTCCGGAGTGATCTCGGCCACTGCCCTCGCGTCCATGACCTCCGACCTCTCCTTCGCCGCCGCCTCCACCTGCTTCACCGAGTAGGTGGTGTACTCCTCGAGGACCCTATCCAGCTCCTCCAATACTTTCTCCTGCCCCTTCCCAACGACCGTGAGGCCGTAGCTCAGCGCCGCCTCCGCGTCCACCTCGGCATCCTCGACGTCATCCTTGTCGTCTGGGTGGTCCGTGTGCGGGACATGGAGCGAGAAGAAGTAGTGCGCGGGGTCGAGCTTGACCGCGGCGACATCGCGGGTGAGCGGCCACTGGACGGGCTCCTGCTCGGCGCCACCGTCAGACCGTCCGCTGCTGAACAGGCGGAAGAGGCCGCGGCGGTGGTGGGGCTTCTCGGGGATCAGGCGCGCCAGGATGGCGACGGAGTGGTCCCCCTGGCGGAGGCGCACGATGGAGAGCGTGCCAGCGCCGAGGTCGAGGCTGCGGTCGGGGTCGACGAGGTGGAGCTGCGCCCCGGGGACGGCGACGACGGTCTCCTCTGTGGTGGGCGGCGGCGGCGCGGCGTCCTCTTCGGACGTCTCGGGGAAGAGGTTCTCGGCGAGCTCGTTGGGGTCGACGGTAGGGTAGAGGGAGTTGCCCGTGGTGGCGGTGCCGGTGCCGGCGCCGGCGCCGGTGGAGGTGGTGGGCGCGGAGAAGAAGGGGGTGTTGAGATCAGGGTGGGACTGGTCCACATCCGGGTAGAGGCTCTGCTTGGCATTCGAGGAAGCGGAAGCCATGGTTGCGTTGCGTAGCTGGTCGGTTGCGCCTAGCTTGCTCTTCTCCGGGGTCGAATCGAGCTAGGGGATGTGGGGAAGCGGAAATGGGAGGGGTGGGATTTTAATACGGAAAGAGCGAAGTGGTGAAGACGACGGTTGATTCGCTGTGTCGCTCAGGGAGGCGGAGATCTTCTGCACGTCGGCTGGGCGGCTGGTTGGTGCCGCGAACCTGCGACGGTTGCTCAAACCGAAGCAGATCCCCGCAAGCCGATAAGACGAGAAGACTTTGGAAGAAAGGAAGCGGGGGAACGACGCGTAGACGTCGCGGCGAAAGGCCTGGCGGGGGCGGGAGTCGGGACAACTCAACGGACACGGAGGCGCAGGCAGAAACGAGCAGGAGTCTGACTGAAGCTGGAGCCTGGAGACGTGGCAATGACGAATTGGCGCGGCAGAAACGTGCCTAACTTGTCCCCGTAACGGATACCAGCCCAGCAGCTGCCCAGGCCGCAGTAGCTCACTGCCCACCAGGGCCCTGTTTAGTTGACCCAAAATCTAAACTTTGGCACTATATAAAAAAGAAGATTTTCCGTCATATTAAATTTACGGTACATGCATGGAGTACTAAATGTTGACGAAATCAAAAACTAATTGCACAGTTTAGTTGTACTTTACGAGACGAATATTTTAAGCCTAATTAGTCAATGTTTGGACAATTATTACCAAATAAAAATAAAAAGCTACTTTAGCTACCGTGCCTCCATGAAAACCGGCAGCGCTGAATTGGGGACCAACTAAGGCCATGTTCGGCTTACCCCATATTCGGCTTATTCGACTTCTTTTTTCAGCCGAAACAGTATTTTTCTCTCACAATAATTCAGTCGGAACGGTACTTTTCAGCCAGTTTCAGCCAAATTTCAGATCAGCCAACGGGGCCTAAACGTGGCCCAGGTAGACCACCGGGGCACATGTTCGTTCGTTGCATCACCGACAGTGATGGTTGTTCACTTGGGCACGGGCAGTTCGGTCGGGGCTTGACGGCGCCACGGATCGGAGCGGCCATAGGTGGTCGGCCAGGGCCGACGTATCGGCGTAGCCGAATTGGGCGCCGGCGCTTCTAAAATTTCTGTCACATCAACTGTTCAGACATATGTATGAAGTATTAAATATAGACTAATTACAAAACTAATTACACAACTTATGACTAATTTGTGAGACGAATCTTTTAAGCCTAATTAGTCCATGATTTGACAGCTTTGTGCTACAGTAAACATGTGCTAATGACAGATTAATTAGGCTTAAAAATCATCTCGCAAATTAACCTCCATCTATGTAATTAGTTTTTGTAATTAATCTATATTTAATGCTCTCTATTAGTATCTAAACATTCAACATGACATGAATTTTAGGAGCGACTAAATAACCAAACACCCTCTTATTCCAGCTGGAGATTACTGTCCATGTCACGTGGGAACACAGAGGTTGAGGCCATTTCTATCACGTTCGTTCGGCTGATAAGCCATGACTAAAAATACTATTGACTGATTTATTGTGAAAAAAAATATTATTCGTTAGTTAAAAAAATACAGCTTATAAGCCAAGTGAAGAGGACGTTCAACTCCACCAGGCATAAGTATCTGCCGATCTCGTTAAGCAACTACTACTCCTGAACTACGGGCAAGGTGAATCTACTGTTCTGTGCTCTGTAGCACCATTTCCCGCTTGCGGTTTGCCAGAACATTCGGTCAACAATTCAAACCAAGAAAGCAACGTTTTTCATATCCCGTTTGTAGAGCTTAACAAAATGGTTATAATGGTGTATCTTGATTACTGAGGATGAATCCGATCATCGTGTATTTCGAAATACTTGGGCCATGTTCGGTTATCAGGGAACGAGTACCTGGAAAGAATCAAGCTGGAACTCAAGCTTAATTTGTATAAGCACTCAAATCTGGAATAATTCTTGTGCCTGGAATGGCTTAACCGAACGAGTCCTTAGCATTCTAGATGGTGCTGTACCATAATAGTCTTATTAAACTTGACTGCAGTATTCCTATAAAAACAAAAAAGTAATGAAAATCGCTATCATTATTATCTTAATATCGTTTTTTAACTGTGGGGATTATTAACTTGTAGACTAAAAACATCTACAACCGTCTTTTTTAAACACACTTTTTAAATCTTATGACATGTTTGGAACGAAAGAATCCAAAACACATGAATAGAAAAAACATAGAAATAAGGTATGATAAAGCGCGTGTTTAGTTGCTACCCTAAAATCCAAAAAATTGCTACAGTATCTATCACATCGAATCTTGCGATACGTGCATGGAGCATTAAACGTAGACAAAAAAAAACTAATTGCACAGTTTGGTTGGAAATTGTGAGACGAACGTTTTGAGCCTAATTAGTCCATGATTGAACATTGTTTGCCAAATAAAAACGAGCGTGCTACATTAGCCCAAATTTCCAAATTCAGAGAACTAAACACGCTCGAAAAGTGAAAAACTACGGAATTTCAAAACACAGGAACAGAAATTTTATGCTGTTTGGAACACATGAATTTATAACATAGGAATTGTAGTGCGCAGCTGCCTTGGACTTCCACACAGGAAGAGAAAACCAGAGGTCTGGATAGATGTTTCTTTTCCTGTGAAAGTGGAGGAATTTGGAGGAATCTGGAGGAATTTGTGAGAGAAAAATACTGTTCCGGATGAAAAAAGAAGCAGATCAAGCCAGGTTTAAGGGCACGCGAATGAGGCCAAAGTTTGAAGATGGTACAGTATTCCGGAGGAAAGGAATTTGAGTTTTCTTTTGTTCTAAACGTTCCTCTCATCTTCCTTGCCTCTGTTTTTGTTTCCTCCACTTTTTCTATAAAAATCATTTGATCCAAACACAGCCTTAATTTAAAGTTATCCTATTTAAATCACTCTTTTTGTCTCTATCCTCCGACAATTTTTTTATATCATGCTTGGCACTTTAGAAAGCCTCCTCCTCTCTAGGTCTTTGGCGAAGATAAACTAGGAATATATGATAAAAATATTTAGAGATCTAGTTGAGAAGCTGATCAAAGAGATTTCTTCACTAAAATCTTTATCCCTAACAATATAAGAGGATATAAAGCAGCTTTTAGAGTTGCTAATATACTAAATTAAATTGATTACAACTTTCAACCATGGGGACACAATCCACACACAATAGCTCGAGGACTTATTTAGATGCACGCGTATGCACGTCAATCCATATGTGTTGAAGTGAATTAGGCTATTAGGGTGAAACTTAGTTTAATTTCTATCTTATTACATTCTAATGTATATGGATTAATGTAGATAGTAGATACAATGCATTTAGACAAGATGTAAAGATGTTGGAGAGGAATGTAAGGTTTTCGGTTTGTGGACGGTGGACACACAAGAAAGGGATCAGCCTGTTCGTTTCGGCTTATACGATCGTGGATTATAAGTTGGAACAATATTTTTCTCTCACACCAAACCAGTCAGCAATATTTCTGGCTTATAATCCACGATCATTTCAGCCGAAACGAACAGGCTGGATATATGCATACTGTTGTGCAGTAGAATATTTTCCATCCGTACACGTACAAGTACAATGTATACTCCACCTCGTCGATGTGGTTTTACACACTCACTCTAGGGCGGTGAGTGCCAAATGAATTGTGGTTTTACATACTGTAGAATATGTTTACTTTGTGTTTTTTCTGCTAGCTGTAAAACGTATTTGATGTACACTAGTGGCAGGGCACGCGCCATCGCGCGCAAATGCGGGCACAAATTCAAAGACACAGAAATATATACTCGACATTGCATGGTATGCATAATATGGACTAATGTAGTAGCGGGTTGAAGCATAATTATATAGATATTATACATGGAGCTAATTGTATAGTAGTTGGGAGGAGTTTAGCAGCACATGTTTTTGGGTCTACATATATACAAAAAAAAGACCTGGTTTGCTAAACCACGAAGTATGGTAGGTATACCAGGTATACCAAAGCATTACAGTTGATCTACAGCACAACAATGATCTTCAGTTGATGAAATGCAATACGGAGAGGAAGACAACGGCCCGTTAGAAACCAGACCTGTTAAAAACAGCCAGTGTAAAAATAATCACATTCACGAAAATAAAATATCGGCAACTGTATTCCTGTTTTTGGTACAAGATCTCTTAAATCCCAACATATGCAGCATGTCAAGGCAGAAAAAGGACATCAGCTCCTAGTCATTCATGTCCTCGTAAAGGAAAAAAAAAGTATGATCTCAGTATAATAATTAAGAAAAAAGACAGTACCAATAAAACTACACGTTTAAATGTTTTTTTCTTTCACTGGTAACTTATATTTCTATCATGAAGATTTTGTTTTTTTAGAGAAGTGCCGGGTATCAGTACTATGGATACCTGACAGAAGGAAGTCGATGGCCGCGAACGCTAACTCACCCAGATGGTCAAGAGCGTATTTTGGTCTCGCCCAACCCCGACGTTACGGGCTCCATCTCGCCCGACCCCGAAGGTACGAGCTCCGTCTCTCCTGACCCCGAAGGTATGGGCTACGTCATGCCCGACCCCGAGGGCGCGAGCTCCGTCTCGCCAGACCCCGAGGGCGCGGGCTCTGTCTCGCCAGACCCCTCGGGTGCGGTCTTCGCCTCGCCTGGCCCCGAGGGCGTGGGCTCCGTGTCGCCCGACCCGGAGGGCGCGGGCTCCGTCACGCCCGACCCCTCAGGCACGGACCTCGCCTCGCCAGACCCCTCGAACGGGGATTTCGCCTTGCCCGACGGGGGTTCATACCGCCTCCAACCACTACGGGTCTAGGAGTACGAACCCAGGGTCAAACTTCTAACATCAGAAAAGGAGTAGACGCGTCTTGACATGACCTGCGGCCACAACGGGCCATACCTGAGGACTCACGTCGCCAACAGTGTCGGACGTGCCGGCGCTATGCTATCTAATCCCCGCACGACTTCCGTCAGAGATACCTATTGACCATGCTGCCCGTCGGGACGGAA